GTTTGTTGTCGCTGTATCTCGACCCAATGAAAGAAGCCAGCTACTTATCACGTATCAAATGTGGGCATTGCGTTATCGCAAAGGAAACTCGTGAATCATGTTAAGTCGTTTGTCTGAGTTGTGACGGAAATACACGAGTCGCATAGCAGACGACAGCGCGAGCGGCAGCCGGCGCGCGCATAGTAGACGACAGACGGGGGTTAACAATCAAAGCGAGAACAGCGACAGGATTTCTACACGCATGCGCAAAACTTCACAACGGCGCCGCAGGGCGGCGCCTCAGGTAGCGGCGACACGCGGAGGCGCGTTCACGCTCATATTGCTTCCGATAGTACGTTTATTACATTTCTAAAAAATTATAGGTTAATATTATGAACTTCCTCTCATAATTTACACGGGGCTTTCTGTTGTTCAGGATTTATATAAAATTATCGAAAAATGCGTTCGAAAGAAAGATAACAATCTGTGTATACGTATATACAAAATACCAGATACTTCCATGTTTAAAAGAGATAATAGAAGCCTTTCCCCTTTTTTTGGTTTCGTTTTCCTAAGAACTGTTGAAGAATGGATCGGAATTTGCATTGAAATCGCTGCAGTGCACGTTGCAACATCTCCCGGAGGAAGTAAGTATAATAAGAATAATTTTCGGTTGCCTTTACCTGCAAAGTCATTTAACACATGGAAGCCATTATTTAAAGATTTAAGTAGTGGTCGTTTAGATTTATTTGAAAGGCATTAAAGAGTCGTTTTTAGTGAAGAGGTGCATATTGTTTACTAATTGCCACCACTCTATTTCGTAACACTATTACGCAGTATGCAGAGTACTGGCGTGAAGTAAGGGAGTAAAAAATATAGTAGGAGACGCACTAGGAGGTGAACAAGAACGCTTGCCTGTCCTCAATGAGCTAGCCGTTATAAGATATTTTTAATCCCTCGGTGTCAGTCGTAGCTCGGCTAGTGTTATGTAGGAATAGTTACTTGCCGGGTTTTCTTTTGCACTAAAAGCATTCTGGCAATAAATTAAAAAAATACGCCCAGCTGGCACCGGTATAGATCATTGGGCTACGGATCGAAAGTTCTAGGTGTGATTCCCGGTGGGGGACGTCAATAAAGTAGAGGCGTAATTATGAGTAAATGCTTGTCTACATTGTTTTGCTTAAGTTTTCGTAATGGTAATGGCTGGTTCGCACATTTGCGTTTCAATCTGACGGAGTGCTTTGTTTCCGCTTGTTATTGCTCACGATGAGAAAGCACACTGGTACACAACTTTACCCTCTCGGGTGACCTTGGAACGATTCTGATATACGTATATGTTTTCTCAATGTTTTACAAACCATTGTTTCACCGTGGGTGTGAAAGTATTATACCAATGTTATAAACGACTATTTCTCATAGTGTGTAGGTTTCGTCTCATAAACACTGAAAAACCTTTAGTTAAATGCACATATAGAAAATGTTCCAGGGCAGCCTGGTACATGAAGTCAGTATGTCAGTGTGTTTTCTCGCCTTAAGCGGTTACAAGCGGGCACAATGCCTTCTATTACTCAAAACCAAATGTGCAGACCGCTTCTGCTAGCATATATGCCATGCCATGGGGCTAGGCATGGACGGTCAGATGAACGGGAAAATATTTCGGAGAGGGTTTCGTTATAACTTCTAAGAAATTACATATTTTGAAATAACTTAAATAAAAGTGTAGATGACAGCGCATGAATTTACTTGGCATTGTATATGACAAATATCACCAAATATTTGAACGTACGGGAATTAATAGATCTATGGCTTTGCAGATATTCATACATGTCAGAAATGTAACTGTGGTGGCTGCGGAAGAAGAAGAAAACTTCTTCCTCGAGCCCCTCGAGGAGATGATGAACATGAGCAGACAGGGGTTAGAATGATTACAATGCTCACTGCCGTCTCCACGATTAAATTGTGATATATATGAAATTGAGTCTCATCACGTGGTGACCCGGACAAAGAACACAGGCCATGCAAGGTGCCGGTGAGCCCCCTTCGGCCATTACTGCCGTGACGGTCAAGCTTCCGTCCTTTTGGCCAGCAGATCCAGGTCTCTGGTTTGCGCACATTGAGTCTCGTTTCGCAACACGCAACATATCACGACAAGAGACAAAATTTCGTTACGTAATCAGCGCCCTCCAACCAATGGAAGCTGGAGAAGTACGGGATATTATTATGAACCCCACGGCCACTCACCCATACGACAAGATCAAAGAAGAGCTCATAAAGTGCACGACGGCATCAAAGCAACGACGTCTTCAACGACTTCTTACAACTGAAGGGTTAGGGGACCGCAGTTGCCATCTCAATTGCTAAGATCAATGCGGCAATTTCTCTGAGATCGGGCAGTTTTTTTCGACGACACCATACTGCGAGAACTTTTTCTGCGACGAATCCCGAGTAACGCGCGCAATATTTTGGCGACGTCCAGTGACATTTCTTTAGACTGCTTAGCCGAGCTTGCGGACAAAATTTTGGATATTGCTGTACCTTCTGTAACCACTAGCGCACTGGTTCCAGTAAGCACTCAGACGTCAGAAGTTCAGCAACTCCGAGAGGAAATACGCCATCTTACTCAGTTGGTTGAGACAACTCTGCGACTGCCACGCTCCCCAAAACCGTCGCTGCAGAAACCAACACCATTCAGATAACTTCTTGACTCGACGAGACAGCCGATCGCCTCGTAAAAATTTCTCTCGCGGCAGCCCACGAGAATCGCCTCCGAACAGTCAGGTATGCTGGTACCATCGCAAGTTTGGTAACTATGCACGCCAATGCTAGAACCCCTTCTCTTTTCAGGGAAATACCCGGAGCAACCACTGACGGCGGCCAGTTCAGTTGGCTCGTCTCCCGGCCGCCCCGCCCTCTTCTTCGTTTCTGACCGCCAAACACATCTCAGATTTCTAATTGATACACGGGCAAAAGTCAGTGTTATTCCTGCTACCTCACAAGACCGCAAAAACAAAACAACTACTAACGCTCTGCAAGCAGCCAATGGAATTGCCATCACCACCAACGGTGAGAAATCAGTAACTGTAGATTTCGGACTATGACGTACGCTCCGGTGGGTCTTTATAATTGTAAATGTTCAATACCCCATCATTGGAGCCGATTTTCTAATTCATTTCGGTATTCTGGTGGACATCATGATGTACCATAAACTGTTAGACGCCATTACTCGAATTGGCGTGCGCGGTGTCGTGTCTAATCCACCACTGCTGAGTCCTAGACTGTTCCGTCTGAAGACAAACACAAAACTACGACACCATCATTGGAAACTTTTCCAGCCTGACACAACCATGCAACACGGAGCGACCAGTCAAACACGATGTGCAACACCTCATCAGAACCGCCGGACCTCCCGTGCGTGTCCACGCCCGTCGTCTAGCTCCCGAAAAACTGCAAGTGGCATGTCAAGAATTTCAGCACATGATGGACTTAAGACTGATACGACCTTCCTCTAGCAAATGGGCATCTCCGTTACAACTATACTCGTTTTCACCTCAAGAAAAAAAGACGCTTTGCGCATTTTTCATACGCCGGGCGAAGTAGTTCTTACGAGATTTGACTGTCGGAGGAAGGAGTGATGCTTTTGGTGCTTGAAACGTATACGACTTGATTAGATAACACATATCTAATCTGAAGTGCACGTACATATATCTTAATTCTCCACATAAAGGGGAAAATCAGTAATGCTCCGCGAGGAGCCGGACTTTTTTTACTACAATTCTTGAGGTTAAAACAAGTATAGTACCAAAGAAGAGTGGTGACTCGAGACCATGCGGAGGTTACCATGCCCTCAACAACAACACAACCCCTGACCGGCAGCCGATTCCTCATCCCCAAGACTTCTCTGCAAATCTTTATGCTATGTCGGTATTTTCAAAAATAGATCTTGTCAGAGCATACCATCAAGGACCCATTGCACCTGACGATATTTCAAAAACAGCAATTGTAGCTCCATTTGGCCTCTTCGAATTTGTTAGGATGCCGTTTGGGTTACGTAATGCTGCCCAGACCTTTCAACGGTTTATTGACCCAGTTCTCAGAGGACTCGACTTCTGTTTCGCTTATCTTGATGATATTCTGGTGGCCAGCGCATCCAAGGAAGAACATAAACGACACCTCTATCAACTATTCAAACGTTTAGATGAACATGGCTCTGTTATTAATATCACAAAATGTGAATTCGGGGTACCAACTCTACAGTTTTTAGGCCACCATGTTGACAATCAGAGGCTTCGACCACTCGACAACAAACTGAAATCTATTCGAGACTATCCAACACCATCCAGCATACGTCGGCTGAGAGAGTTTCCGGGACTCGCAAATTTTTACCGCCGTTTTATTCCCGGTTGCGCGGAAATCATCCAACCGCTGAATGATTTATAGCTCGGCACAAGAGATTCTAAACCTCCATTCAAGTGGCCTGATTCAGCCTCAGCCGCATTCAGCACCATTAAACTGCGATTGCCAACGCCACCTTGCTATTGTTCCCTAAGCCTGAAGCACCGACCATTATTATGGTAGATGCTGCCGGTACAGCCGTCGGAACAGTACTACAACAATACATCAGTGGACAATGAAAACTTCTCGCCTTCTCAAAAAAAAATAAAAATAATAATAATAACTGCGACAGAAACCCACTACAGCGCATTTGGGCGTGAACTTCGTGCCACTTAGCTCAGCGTCAAACATTTCCGTTATTTCGTTGAAGGTCGCACATTTTTTATCCTCACGGATCACAAGCCACTGACATTTGCCATAACATGGAACGGCAATACCTATACACCCAGAAAACAAAGACAGTTGGTATTCATAAGTGAATTCACAACCGACATCTGACACATCAAAGGAAAGCACAACGTGGCTGCTGATGCGTTATCACGAGTGCATATTGCTGCTTTGAAGCTACCGGGCGTCGATCAGATTGATTTTTCGGCTACTGCAAAACATCAAATCCCGGACACTGGGTACCAAAATACATCTCTGCCCCTAAAAAGAAAAAAAAACCGTAAGCAGATATTTCGCTTCTGTGTGATTTTTCAACGTGAACAGCACGACCCTACAATCCACCCGCATTCCGCAAAAAAATCTTCGATGCCCTACACTGACTGTCCAATCCCGGAATACGAGCTACGCAGAAACTTATCAACACTCGTTTTTTCTCGCCAAAGATGAACACAGATATCCGAACGTGGTCAAGATCATGTACAACTTGTTAAAATAAAAAAATTCATCGTCATACCATAACACCATTCGCGACATTTCCGCCAGTTACGGAACGTTTTGAGCATGTTCACCTAAATTTGGTTAGTCCATTACCTCTTTCAAATGGCTTCTCTTACCTCTTAATATGCGTGGATCGTTTTACACGATGGCCGGAGGTAGTACCGATGCCCGACATGACAGCTGCAACAGTTGCCCAAGCTTTCGTCAGAGGGTGGATTGCCCGTTTTGGAGTACCGTTAATAGTCACTACGGACCGCGGCCGACAGTTCGAGTCGTACATTTTTGCTGAACTGATCCGACTCCTTGGCATCAAAGGCCTTCGCACAACGGCGTATCATCCGGCCGCAAATGGAATGGTTGAGCGATTTCATCGACAACTGAGTTCATCACTGCCTGCTCACAGCTTCATCCCCTGCACTGAAGCGCTACTCATTGCTCTACTCGGAATTCGTTCCACGCTCAAAGTGGACATTGTGGTCTCTACTGCTGAGCTTGTCTACGGCACTACACTATAATCTACCTGAAGAATTTCTTCACAACACGTCACCTGATGTGCCCACGTATGCCCAGGATTTTACGAACTATGCTCACCCCCTCAGACAACATTTCAATTTTCCCATGTTTACTACGGGAGATTAATAACCACCCTTCTTTCATCAGCACCGACCATGACACCAGTACTCATGTTTTTGTTCGCATCGATAGAACAAAGAAGCCACTTGAGCAGCCGTACCAAGGCCCATTCAAAGTCATCAACCGAAAATCGAAGTTCTTCTTCATCGACATAGGGGACCGTCATGAAACGATCTCAACTGATAGATTGAAACCTGCTTATACAGAAGAATATAGCTACAAACGCTACTTTAACACAAACAAACAAATAAGTCGGTTCCAACCATCGCATTCGGTGAAACGCAACTTGCATGCGCATTGGGATTAAGACTGAACAATTTTCACAGCGATGTAAATAATTGTACATATATTTATTGCAGCGTTCAGTGCCAAAACATTTAGTTGCAATGTGTGAGTGTGCGGGTGTGTTTTTGTTTTGTTTTCTCTTTATTTGGATCGAACTTTGTTTCTACTGAGGGAAGTATATGTGGTGACTGCGGAAGAAGCAGAAAACTTCTTCCTCGAGCCCCTCGAGAAAATGATGGTCACGAGCCGACACGGGTTAGAATGACTACAGCTCTCATTGCCGTCTCCACGATTAAATTGTGATGTGTATGAAATCGAGCCTCGTCATAACTATTAGCAACGTGTGCGACCAAAAACAACGTTGTGGTCGGCATTTGAAATTGCCCGAACCATTAAGGTCAGAGGGATCTCGGGGGGTCTCGGACACCCCGCCGATTTTGAATGGTGGTGTGAGACCCCCCGTCATAGCTCTGCCTTTGGTGAAAACACAGTCATAAGTTCTAGATCTTATAATCGAAAATGTTCAAGTTTTGTTGAGCAGCCATCTACAGAGAGAGAAAAACTATGTTGTTAGTACCCGTGTCAATTTCGTGTTGAATAAAATGGTGAACGGTTCAGGCACACCATCGCATCGCCGATTGTGGCTGGCCTTAAGCCGAAACAAAGAATAGACCGGGATTTGTAAGGTGATTCCTCATGTTGCCTAAAGAATTCGGCCATTGCTTATCTCCTTGCCATGAATGATTTGACCAATCATCAGACTGCTCCCAGCCAAGATGTCAGATGTTTCCACACATACGTTATAACCCAAGAGGACGCACATTAATAGTGTACCTTAAAATAAGTCGACAGAGGAGGGGATAGAGCAACGCGAGCTTATACCATGCACATGTAGTTGTTTGGTTTCCACGTTATAGATGTCTTAGATCTTTCTAACACAACGATAATATTGAAACTTTAGGAGTACCTTGCCCATGAATGTTCCCTTTCCACTCCCATAAGTCAGTGCCTTTGCAGTCTTGTCAGAAATAGACTTCTGTGCTTTGTCATCTTTATCGACCTGACGGTCGAACCCGTTCTGAGCATGTGCAGTAGTTTTCATCTACAAAATACGATACGCCGAGCACGCGTCCACTGTTCAGTGAGTCGGTAATTTTCGCCTGTGATAAGCGCTGGAGAGGTGTATAGACCAACGACGCCGCACGTGGCATTTAAAATAAAAAAAAAAAAACGATGATTACGATGATCTCTGGACGGCGTTCCACATGCGATTTAAAAGAAGATTCTCATTATGTTATGAGGGCTTTAAGCAGCACAATTGGGTAGGAGCACATGCTGCGTTTTGGTTGTCGTGAGGAGGTTTAGGCTTCTGCACAAATACATAAATCAACAGTATGTTTTATACACTCAGAAAACTTAAATGACAACAAAACTGTATGAAGATGTCTCTGCAACGTTCTTAGCTAAAATATGTTTGTGTTACGCAATAGTCATTTACTTGGAAGGTAGTATGTGAACTTACTATGTTCATTTTCATAAAAAAAATCCTGGAAGTTATAATGTTTGAGTTTGTACCTAAGTACGAAACCTAGACGGTGCTTTTGTACAGTTTATTTTTTTTTTCATAGAAATTAATAGCATTATTATTTATGCATTTGCATCAATCCTCAAACACCCTCTAACTTAAGCCTGAAAGACTAGAGTATACACGTAGAGGGCTGAAAGTTTTCTCAAATGTACATTTAAGTGGTCAGTTTAGCACGATGTGATAAGGCGTCATTTTGTTCTCAAAATCCTTAAAACAAAATCGCTGATATCTAGAATACTGGGGCCGGACACTGAAGTGGGGCCACAGGTATGCAGATAAACCTAGTAATGAAAGAAAAAGCAGACCAAGTTTGATATCCAGTCGGCGGCAAGTTTTCACAATCGCCTTTGCCTTCATTTATTTCAGTTTCAATTTTCAACTCCCGACAGATATTTAATTCTAGGCGAAGGTTAATTTACATTGCCCGTCCAATCATTAATTTAAAATTAATTGGTATGTTTGATGTAATTCAATTACTGACCGTGAAGATTATTTTTTGATCTAATGTGCGCCAAGCCTGATACACATGCAGTAAAGACAGTATCTATGTGCTAGACTATGCGTTTTTTTAAATCCGATCAAATTAAAATAATCTATCATTTTCGTTAAATTCACAATATAACCCGTACCACCATTACGTGAGATAATATTGAATCGTTTTTGACAGATTGCAAATCAATGGAAGGACCACATGAACAAGAAAAATAAAAACGAATCTGGCCTATTGACGGAAATCTGCGATGCTGTAAGAGACTGATCTATTTCTCCTTTTTTGTAGGGTACCCAGTTTTTTTGGTTTTAGCGTTAAATTTGAATTTAGGCTACCTACTCGTCACTCACTTATTGTGTTGTTTTTTTTAGGCCAAGGAAGTTAGGGAAGAGGATAGCACCCTAAAACGCGTTATTTTATATTTTCGATGAGTTGCAGGGTAGCAGAGTTTGGGAAGAACTGGCATAAACCATTTAACAACGCGAAAAGCCCTTAATTTTGCACTTTACGCCAAAAGGACGTGGTGGAAGTCCAAACGTTTTATCGCATTTTGTCTAAGGTAAACTAAAAGAGCCAATTTATTTAATGCACCGCAGTAAAAGAGAGCTCTGGTCGTCCACTGAATGATCCCAAAGGTTACTTTAAAATAAGTGCACTCAGAGACGGGGCCGTGTTCCTGTGATGATTCGCTGCAGACTAAGTTGCACTGCGGCAGCATTGCTTGTTGTCTTTGAAGGATGTATTCCGCTGCTGAAGTAGTGACGAGTAATTAATCGGGTAACTAAGCACGATTTTTTTTTTGTCGGCTCGTTTCTTCACACGGCAATCCGTCGTAGCACGACGAGCCCTCCTTGCTTATCTAATACTACCCAAAACTCGCTCTCTCTCTCTCTCTCTCTCTCTCCTCCGGCGTCCCTTTGGCACGTCGGGCACAGTCGTACTAAGCATGTCGCCTAAAGGCCCGTTCACGCTCTTGCGACCTTTTAAAACTTGGTGCCTTGAAACCTCTTACACGGAGAGGACACACTGGCGCCATCTATTGGGTAGCAGTGTAAACTTGGCCGGTCCGGCATATTTGCTATTTCTCTCGCGCATTATCCTTTCTTTCTTGGCTCGAAAACCTTTCGTCAACGTTATAAACGAGCCTTTTTAATAGGCATTACGCACATTTGACCTCGGAAATACCGCAAAACCTTCGCTCTTGTGAAATGCAGTTCCAGGGTCACCGTATAAATGCGCCAGCGTGCCAGTGTGTTCCCTCGTCCTAAGAAACGTTAAGAGGTTTCAACAAGTCTCGTCTCTCTCGGTCGTACTCGGTTGCAAGAGTGTAAACGGGCCTTAATTCTGCTCAGCAATCTCCTCTTCGGTTCGCTCCTTCCTCTTACGGGGCATTTAGAAGACTGCGACACATCCAGGGAGCATGCACCTCGTCCCGCGACCCGCGCTTGAACGCGTAAGGAGAGGAGGACGGCACGTGTACTTCAGTCTCTCGCGCATGTGCATGCGTTTCAATGTGACGCCCAGAATTTTTCAGGGAGAGAAAGAGGCGGGGGGGGGGGGGGAGGGAATAGCTTATGAACTTCTACCACATTTAATAAAGTATAATTGATAAAGCTTGAATATACATCAGTCCCACGTCGAAGACAACCAGGTAAGACCCCAGATGAATAAAACATATTTTTCGCTGAGGGTTGAGTCGCCTCCAAATTTGGGTTGCCTGGAGTGCCAACGCCTGCAACTCTACGTATTTTATGTCACATTCCCTTTCTTCAAGTAGGACTTTTTAGACGTCAAGTGTTTCGAACTCTTGATGAAAATGCTTCCCCACTACCCCCAGTGGTTACCGTGGTTGGCTGGAGCGCTTACGCGATCACTCCCTTCTCATGTTTGACCAACGACACTTCCTTGCTTTTATGGCAGCAGTTTGAGTGGAAAAAAAAATCGTGATTTATGTGTTTGCATATGCGGCGCCGTCACAATCGGGGAATCTTCGCATTGCAAAGCTTTGTGAAAACTGTAGTCGGTAAAACAACTGCAACCCCGCCCAACGCGATTTCCTCCCGATATTGTGGTCGTGTATAAAATCACCTTGTTTATTGGAGTGCTATTTTTCACCTGGCCACGTTTGGACACAAATAAGTAAAGCACCATAGAACGTTGAATATTCCACAGAATAGCTCTAAAGCGCGTTCACACATGCGACTTGCAGCGGTTGTGCGACCGAATAACAACATGCAACGAGCGACCCCCGACGTTCAGACTTTGGGATCGGCGAGTCGCTTCTCAGAAGTTTTTGGGAGCCTTCGTCCATTCCGACTGTCACGTGACGTCGGGTTTGCGTTTCGCTGCTTTCCTCTTTTCGTTGTGCACATCTACACTACGCATGTGTCGTTTTCACCATATGAGAAGGCCTCATTATAATGGCCTTGACCCATCGAAACTGTACGATGAAAGCACAGTAGCAATATCTGCGTGCACTCACTCCAGCTTCCGTGGTGCAGTACGTATATCAGTCAAGCTAAAAGTGGCACGGATTTGCTGCCAGGCCGAGTTATTTTCCGGGCGCTCTTAGAAATTATAGTCCTGCTTTTTATATATATAACAAAATGGGTACTCTTTAGTCGCGCTGATTAAGGCCGCCGCAGGGACCTCCATAACTGCTTCCATGGACGCTACCACGAACCGAGGTGAACATACATTCCCACTCCCGCTGAAATGCTGGATGTGAGCAAACGTGACGCGTAACACGTCACTTTACGAGGCCTGGCGTCGCCTTCGCCTGTACTGCGCGCAATTAGTCACACGGAATATAACGACTTTGCACTACGCCTAAGAGGCCATACAAGCAAAATCTCCTTGGAATATTCGATGCTGGCCTTTTGGCTCCGTGTGGTAATCGCCCTGGGAGAGACAGCTAGTGCAATCTATAAGCCACAGTGTCAATCTACGCAACTGAGTTATGTTTAATCTACACTAAGGCCGCCGCAGAGACCTCCATAACTGTGCGCCGGGTTCAACTTCTGCTATGTTACTTTTTCATTTAAATTTGCAAAGAACGTTTTATTTTATACGATAAGCTAAATTCCAATAACATTTTCAACGTCACCCGTGACCGTGGCAGCATTTTGGCGGCCTGCTTCACTACGGCGCAATATCAATTCTAAATAGCGTTTTATGTCCACGGTGTAAGATACTCTCTTCAGGTGAGGACTGTGCAAGGCACGGAGCGACCTGTCCTGTCACGAGCGTATCCGTGCGCCCAACAGCCCGCAGCCAACTAGCGTCACTTGCTGGAAAAACGACGCAACTGTAAAAAAATATATATATATAGGTAAAGTAAGGTAAATATAAAAACAATGGACCGGGAAAAGTTAATAAGTGAAAGATGCGTACTGTCGGAGTTACTAATTCGAAGTTTATTACGACGTTTCGAGCGGGGACCGCTCGAAACGTCGTAATAAACTTCGCCACCTGATGTAACTTCGCCACCTGACGTAATAAACTTCATCACCTGATGAAGAGCGGTCCCCGCTCGAAACGTCGTAATAAACTTCAAATTAGTAACTCCGACAGTACGCATCTTTCACTTATATATATATATTTTTCTTTTACAGTTGCGTCGTTAATATATATATATATATATATATATATATATATATATATATATATATATATATATATATATATATATATATATATACCGGGTGTTTCTGCGAAGACTTTCAAAAATCCTAAAAATTAAAGCGTCAAAAAAAAAAGCTTTCTTTGGGTACAAACTACCAGCCACGGCGGACGTCAGGAATTGCCAAAAACATAGTAATTAGCCAACTAATTAATTAAAATTTGTTAATTAACTTTTTAATTAATGGAAATAGACATATGGTTCTAATTTGAAAGTTGCTGAGCCTTATCGAAAACCACTAAATCACTCATTTTCAAAAAGACTTTCGGCGCGTGAGAAGCGTAGTATGGTACTAAAGTTACCACTCGTGGAGCAGGTACAAGGCTGGGGCGAGATAAGAGACGGAAAAATCGCGCGGGCGCCTTATCGCAACCGTTAGCTTTGTACCTGCTCAAAGAGCGGTAACTTTAGTGCGCTACTACGCTTCTCACGCGCTCAAAGTCTTTCTGAAAACGACTGATTTAGTGGTTTTCAATAACGCTCAGCAACTTTCTAATTGGAACCATATGTCTATTTCCCCTAACTAAAAAGTTAATTAACAAATTTTAATTAATTAGCTGGCTAATTAGTATGTTTTTGGCAATCCCTGACGTCCGCCGTGGCTGGTAGTTTGTTCCCGAAGACAGTTTCTTCTTTTTTCAAGCGCCCTAATTTTTAGGATTTTTGAAAGTCTTCGCAGAAACACCCGGTATATATATATGGGTGGTTTCATCTCAAATCGTGCAGGCAAAAAGGGTCGAATTTTTAATTTCGATGAAAAAAATATATGTTATGGTGCCGTTTCTAAAACCGCAGTCGACACAAACCGCAAGTTCGTCGGATTTTTCGTTCTCGACTTATGAATTTTTAAAGAGGCCGCGGCGAAAAGCAGTGTTTTTCACACCTGTCGTGGGTCGGATGTTTCGCTTGATCTCCTGCCATGGATTTTCAGTCCACATTATATTATCTTTTTGGAAGCACTCTGTGGACACATTTAAAAGTTTCCAATACCATGAACTGATTTTAGGCCTTTTGCTTTTTTTCTGTAAAAATGTCAAAAACGCCTCCTCGGTCAATTGTTGACGAACTTTGACAATTAATTACTGGCGATCTACTTGGGTTACACCGATATTGTTTATGTCCACGGAGAGCCCAAAACACGCTCTTTCCATTTATTATAAAATGCCTTGGCTGTATAAAATATCCTTCGCGGTACGTTTACGCGTGGTACGTTCGCGGCACCCTCGACGGGTGTGAAAAACACAGCTTTTCGCCGCGGCCTCTTTAAAAATTCATAAGTCGAGAACGAAAAATTCGACGAACTTGCGGTTTGTGTCGACTGCGGTTTTAGAAACGGTGCCATAACATATATTTTTTTCATCAAAATTAAAAATTAAAAATTTACATATATATATATATATATATATATATATATATATATATATATATATATATATATATATATATATATATATATATATATATATATATATATATATATATATATATATATATATATATATATTGTTGACATGGTACACGAAGTAAGATACACTCTTTAGGTGACAACACGGCGGGGCTAAACGCGCGGCGCGAGGAATCGGATAGCGTTCGTTCGACGGACATCCGAAAAGGCTGCATCATTCCGCGGCCACCGTGCCCGCGGCTGACAGTGTCACCGGCGGCCAAACGGCGAAAATGTGTGAGAGCGAAAACAATGGTCTCGTTGCCATGACACCCCGGTACATCTTTCTTCTTTCTGCACGTGCGACAACCTCGCTAGAGCTCTGCGCGTGTGGAGCATGAGGTGGCACGAGCCGTCTTTGCCGTACCCACGGGTCGACGAGTCATCTGCGGGCGCTGCTTGAAACCATAGGGAGAGAGAGAAAGAGAGATAGTGAAAAGCGAACTTCATCGGCACGTCGCGCGGAGCGCGCTCTCCCTACCTGAAGAGTACTATTATCTTACACCGTGACATGGTATCAGACAAGCACGAGCTCCTTGCTCAAGGGTGTGCGACGGCTTCGTGAGAAATGCCGTGGCAAATAGCGAGATATCTTATTTGTGTTCTTTCACAGGTGCGTCGTTTCGCCAGCAAACGACGCTAATTCACCGCGGGCTGTTGGGCGCGGGAATGGGCTCGTGACAGGACTTTACCTAGTCAATGGCGTCCCATTGTTCTTCGCGTCAATGCCCTCACCTGAAGAGTATACATCGTACACCGTGATTATGTCAAATCGCGGAAGTAGATAACGATATGGCTCCAGCTATCCTAAAAACAAAAAACAAAAAACATAATGAAGGTATCACTATAACATTGATTTAGTTCTCATGACAATGACAAACGATGCCTGGCCATTTCACACAAAAAATTATACTAGAATGCATGATCGCAAAAATTCAAATCTATATTTTCGATCCTTGAGATTTGTTCACCTCATTCAACACGGTTAGGAAAGTGCGAGCCGTACTGCAGAAGGCTGTCATGAGATATACGTATGTTTTGCACTGCGAAGAGTATTTCTAGGTCATACCTTTCTAGAAATCGCCCTCATTCTGACGGATGTCAAACACTCAAATTGTGTTTTCTTATGAGGCCACATGTCTTATTGCTGTAAGTGACCTCGCAATTAATTTTAGATAGTATTTATTCGTGTTATAATGTTCATGCAATTCGCTGTCGTTTCAGGAAAAACAGGATAAAGACCCGGACTTCATGAAAACGTTTTCGGTAGGTTTACAGACGTCGTCGGAACATTGAGCGTGATACGAATAGTCTTGTTTAACCAACAACCACGTACTTTTTTCGCCGAACAGCTGCTTGTTTTGTAAAATACCTCTAAATAATATCATTCGTCGCAAAATTTCAAAACGTAGACCTTATAAGCGCCCTAAAGACGCCACAGGCGTCTTTTCTCTTTGATTTCGTGCACTGCATGCGTGGCGAAATTGTGAAGGTAAGATAGCAAGCACAAAATGGACTTCCCCCTAATCTATAAAAGATAGATTGCAATCACCGCACCAAACCTCCTAATGATATTTGTAGTTTCGGATTATTTGTTTTTCTGCTTTGCTTTCTGAATTGCGTTTCATTACATATAATTTGTTGCCCCTCGAAATTCTCGCTTCGTGCTCTTCCCCCCGGTTGTGTACACGGAAATAGATAAAGGCCTACACCCCCTTAAACAAACGAAAATGTCTGTGCGTTTACTTCCTCGTAAAACACTCGTTCAGCCGATCACTGAGATTTACAAAGGGAGCCCGGGAAGATGACATTAAAACAGGGGACACATGAGCGATGAAAACGGGCGCCGTGCGGCAATTTCATAGCAAACGGTGCTGGCGTTCCTACGTCTCTTCCGCGCGGCGCCGCGTCTCTCGGATCTGGGGCCGTAATCCGGACACCCAGTGAAACAGTCGGCGACAAATCCGGCGGCCGTCATTGGCCGACGCGGCACTTGAACTTGGCGGCGGCCAATCACACTAGCCCGATTTCTCGCCGACTTTTTCGCCAAGTGTGCGGACTGGGGCCCCAGGTCGACACAGATAATTCCGCGTAGTGCGCCGCCTGTGTCGCGCTTAGCGGCGAGTGCTGCGCGACGCCCAGTTTCACCGCTCATGTGTTCCATCTTAAGCCACTTTTCAGCCTAAAATGCCGTCTACGCACTACAATCTGAGCATGTGAAACTATACCGTATATGCTCAATATGCCATAACGTGGACTGGAGTTATACGGCGAGCAGTTGTTCCAAAATACGTCTCTGGCGCACCGTTACATATACATGCAAGGAGGAGCACGCCGATCGAACAGTAACATGAAGGTGCAAGGAACACCCAATGATGAGGCGGCCAAACACCTCGTCATCGCCATCGTCATTGGCTAAGGTCCAAGAGGAGGGAGGGGGGGGGGGGGGGGGGGGGGCAAAAGCACGTAGGCGCGTTCGAGGAGTAAACAAACGCACGAGGTGCGCAACGAGAAAACGAACTTGCCCGCCGTACGAGTTGAAACGTTCATTTGTGCCTCGAAATTCACATCAGCTCATCCATAAACCTTTGCAGTGCTCATCCCCCAAGCGCAATGGCCGAGTCGCTTGTGGACGCATGCGCGGCGCTTGGCACATAGCAGAAGAAAACTACTGCGCGTGCTCAGAAGGCGTTTCACGGCTCAGTACAAAAAAAAAAGTTATGCGGAGCGCAAGTTCGTCTGCTTCTTTCGCAGGGGTTCTGGCGACGTCAGAATGGCGAGTTCCGATTGGCTCTCATTGAAGGATAGTGGGTAGACCTCAAGGCCGCTTGCTTTGAGGGCTACCCTCTATCCTTCAGTCAGAGCCAATCGGAACTCGACATCTTTCTGACGTCGCCAGAACCCCTGCGAAAGAAGCAGACGAACTTGCGCTCTGCTTTGGAATGGGTCATGGAGTGACTGGCTCAACGAGTGATCTGCGGGAGAGTAGACTCACAGGAACGTTTTATAATGCAGTACTGGCCTTGATCAAAAATTAATTTGAGCGAATGTGTTTTAGCGGTTTGTACTTGCTTGTTCGCACCGCATTTTACAGATTCAGTTCTAGACAACACACTGCTCCGTGTTTTTTTTTTTTGTTTTTTTTTTCTTATTAACAGTGCAAGCATTATGATAAGTGGGACTGCTCTTTTCTAGGCCGATGAAAAAGGAATGGTGAACGACACCTCAGTATTATGCAGAATAAGGCATACGACGCCATCTGAATGCACAGTGCTGCAAGGGGTTGACGCTTAAACATCCAGAAGAAAAACGAGCAGGGGCATTCGATTGCTCAATTTCACACTTTTGAATCTAAAGAGAATGGGACGATTCTATCTGTTTGATTTGAGTTCTGGCAAATAAACTATTTCGTATACCTATGATTTTAACTGTGTCCATTGTGCATTTAATGATCTCCGAGTTAAACATTTGTTTTCGTGTTCTGGGTGCGTGTTTTTGACGCTGTTCTCGCATCTTTACCCACCGAAAAGGGAATTTATTTTGTATAATTTAGTATCACCCCACTATGGAAAGGTTTTTTTTTTTTTTTGTTTAGGGCGAGGTTAGAGAGGGGGTGAGAACTAGAAGCTTTATCGGGCGCCATATCATGCTGCTTTTGCTTTTTCGCTCCTTCTCTTATGGAAGGAAACAATGAAGATACAATGTACCATGAGCTCGTAAAAAAAAGAAAACCGTCTTTTTTTACTGCAAGTATAAACTACGCAATGCCGTAACCTCAGCCTCCACCCAATTATAGTACTAGCGATATGCCTCCACCCAATTATAGTACTAGCGATATGGTTTTTTGATCAAATGACTGCGCTTGCTCGACCTCGCGCGCAGTATACCGCGTGTCAGGGCACTGGAGTCTTGAATGGCGCAACTGTAAAAGCGCCTCCTCAGAGGTAGGTTCTGGGGGGTGTGGGGGGCTGCCGTCGCGGTCGGGATCGAGGGACGCTCATGGGGACTGACTCTGCACTGAGTAAACGTTGATGACGGCTCGTGGCAAGGAGTGCGAGATGTTGGCCCTAATCCTTACCGCACTGCGCACGCGTATTCGGCCTTTCGGTTGCCGTACGAGAAAGGGTGGTGCATTTGTTTTTAACACCCCCCCCCCCCCCCCCGTGCCCGCGCGTTTCGACCTGTCAGGTGTAGAAGGTGGGCGCTTGCTTTTTTCGGCAGCGCGCGGACGTTTTATGCTGCCGCCAGCAGGAGGGCTGTGCGATGGCCTCTTATGTCAGCGCGCGTGGACTTTATACTGCGGTGGGCATTCTATGTTTAGGTTTTGTTTAATGTCATTATATTAAAAAAAAAAAAAAAAAAACGTTGCGTGGGGATTGTACCAATTATTTCAAACGTCAGCATCACTCATGTTCCGAAGGACATAGTCGCCCCTTGGAGGTGGTCATAGTTACATTACGAGATTGCGTCATTCTTGACTGGACCTCTCGCGTCTGGCATACTGTAGGACAGGTGTCTCAAACGAGCGGCCCGCGGACCGCATGTTGCCCGCGATTCTCTGGGACGCGGCCCGCAAGCGGCCATGCTCACATAACCTGTTCGCACATTTTCGACTAGGCTGTTTTGTTTTGGACTAAGTATTTTATCGTCTAAATATTTGCTTCTCTTTCTCACGTAAATCAACCGCAACGGCGACTAGGTTACAAGCGCGAGCTCATTGCTCAAGGAGGCACCTCGGCTACTCAAACTGTCGCTTAGCAGGAGGAACTGGCAATGATAAAGCTACGAGTTCGGGCTTCTATGCTGTCAAACAATACCTTTAAAGCAAGTATTTTCTTATAATGCTGCCATCAAAAATCGTCAAGAAAGAAAATAGCTGCCGTATGAAGCGATATGTTTTTTCATGCCCGTTGAGCCTATAATTGTGCGACAGGGCACGGACGGTGTGCTTGCTCTTGCTCCATTGAAAACGGCCAGTACATTGGTGTTTCCAATATAGTTATAACATCACGTGTGGGCCCAAAGTAGACGTATATGCATCGTATATCTTGGGCCATATCTCTTGGGTGTCGCTGGGAAAGTCGGCTGCTTTGCAAACATCGCCGTTTTTTTATAACAATTTGATTTTTCCAATCAGTGATAATTCGTGATTTTGTAAGTCGGTGATATCGGTGATATTTCATGATATTTGTGAGTCAGCGATTTTTGGTGATGTGTGTGATTCTCATTTGGGTTGGAGGTTATGTGAGAGGTCGTTACTTTCGTTTTGTATTGATAGGCTGTGTGATATGAGTAGCGGTGACTTTTGAATCGTGATGAACTTTGTGATATGACTGGTGGTGGGTTTTGGATTTTGAAACAATTCATCCTATTATCGTGCGCCTACGTGTCCTAGTCGTCAGCACATCTGGCACACACGATAGTGGCTCGGGTTCGATTCCCGGCACTGCGTGTCGTTTGATTTTTCTTTATGTAAGTGGAGGATTCAAAAAGGTTGGAGAACCGTCTAGCCTATTCATGCTCAAAATGTATAGTTCAAGAAGAATTGAAGCAAAATATTCTAGGATCTGAGGAAGGCTTATAAGAAACTGCGCCGCGCCGTACAAGTCAGTCTAGCTCTTGCGATCGATCGTGCTATTCCTCCAACCTTCGACGCGGTCGACGATACCTCTTTGCACTTTTTTTGGGCACAAGTTGGCCAAACTGAACTTTTGGTTTCTGTTCATTTATCGCCTCATCATCTGTCGTTCGTGTCATTTTGGTGCAGGTGCGGGGTAAGGATTTGTTGCTTCGGCAACGACGAATTCGTTGTCGAAGCAACAGACATCAAGCGTGCACTGTCGGTCCGAGCCTGCCACTACAGCCGGCTCACAGGTATGATAGTTTCTTCGACTCTAGCATCTCCTCAATTCAGCCCGGGCGGCATTGGCGCTGACAATCTTCGAGAAATTGTCCGCGACGTCATTCGGGAAGAGCTCCGGAAAACTCTGCCCGCTGCTGATCGCCCTGCTTCGATTTCAATCGCCGATGTCGTCCGAGAATAGGTTCAGCGAGCCTTCCAGCCAGATGCTCCCGTCACCGTGGTAGCACCGGAAGAGCCCATTCTCAGCTACGCCGCCATGACCTGACGACCGCCGCCAGCTGCTCACCGTTACCGGGTGCCACCTCGGCGTGAAGTTCTAGCACCCCAGCACAGCCGATGCAACGAAGGACGGGCCCAGTAAGTCCAACCGCAGTCATCCGAGTCGAGGAAGATGGATGTGTGGCGAACAGCTGAAGGGCGCCCTGTTTGCTACCACTGTGGGAAGCCGACTGCATTTACCGGAAGCGCACCTACCGCCACATTGGTGTGCTGGGGTTCGCGACTAATGACCCTCGACTACGGATTGCAGAGCAGCCATAGGACATTGAGGAATACCTCCGTCAATCGAGTTCCCTGCTGACGGCTGGACCCCAAGGATTCCGTTCCCTGTCTCCACAACGTAACAAAATTTTGTAACCCGTGCCTCGCCGAGAAAAAAGGTGGAGTTCCCGTTCGCCGAAAAAGAGAAGATCCTCCAAGAACGACCGGACAGCTCCCCCTCTAGCAACGACCGCCTCGGAACAAAGCTCCCGGAACAGTGCCCAACAACCTCAACGTAGTCATCGACGGCCATGACGCGTCGGCACTTCTGGATACCGGGATGGGCTATTCCGTCTTGAATGGGAGGCCTCGACGCATCTCGACGCCTTCGGAAAGTGACAACTTCAGGGGATGGACCACAAATTCGAAGAGCCGGATGGCCCTTATAACGCCTGTCGGGAGGTGCACTGCAGGAGTCGAAATCCACGGTAAAACCTGCCCGGTGAAGTTCGTCGCTCTTCAGGAATGTGCGAGGGTATTCTAAGTATGAGCTTGTTGTGCGAATACGGCGCCGTCATCGACCTGGGTCCGCGAATAGATTGGCGCTACAAAAACCCAGAGTTACGTCACCGCGAATCCCAGTCCTCGCCGAAAATGTAAACCTGCCACGACGACCGTCCGTTTCTGTACCTGTCAGGACCGATGAAGCTTCCTCCGACGAAGTTCTGTTTGAGGGGAGCTTCCAGTTGCTTCTAGGAAGAGAAATCGGCGTCGCAAGAGGTGTAACAAAGTTTCAGGACGGGCGTGCCATGGTCGTCGTTACAAGTTTTCGACAAGAGACGCAACACCTTACGAAAGGTACGGCCGTGGGCCACGTCGAGGAACTCAGGGACAGAGCAGCGATAACTGCGCCCCCGGAAAACCCGTATTCATCTTAGCACCAAAGAACGCTGCCATCGCAACTTGACATCGACCCGAAGCTTCCTGCTACTGAACGACAACTGCTTGAGCTTCTCGGTGAATTCAGCGAGCGCTTCGCCGCGTCCTCATGGGGCTCGACAAACGACGGTAGCGAAGCACCGCATTGCCACCCCCGACGACGACCTTCCTGTTCAACAGTCGCTGTGTCTCGCTGTATCGAGTCTCTTTAAAGTAAAGACAGGCTATTCAACAGCAAGATCAGGTGGTGCTCGACGACGACATCATCCAACCCTGAAGCAGTCCTTGGGCCCCTAGTTGTGCTCGTAAAGTTGAAGCACGAAACTTTAAGGTTCTGCGTGGCTACACCGTCGACTGAACGCCGTGACCAAAAAAGATAGGCATCCGTTCTCCCGCATCGACGACACATCGAACCGACTGCCTGATATTTTTCGTCGATGGACCGAAAAGCTACTGGCAGATCCAAGTCAACCACCGCGACCGCGAAAAAACTACCTTAGTCACGCCCGACAGATTGTACAAGTGCTGTACAAAGTCTTTCGGACTTTGTACAGCACTAGCCACCCTCCAGCGTGTCACGGAGACCGCATATACTATCAGGTCTAAAATGGCCGAGCTGCCTCACCTACCTCGATGACGTCGTCGCATTTTCACTAGATCGATCTTACTAAGCGTTCGGCGCATGCGTGAAGCCGTCATAACTTTAGTTAACAGGTGGCAGGAGACAGTGCCCGAGACGACTTCTGCCGTCTCGGGCCCAGCACGCGCACACCTACAGCAAGGTTGTCGCACGTGCAAAACGACTACATTTCCCTCGGTGCATAGCGGCAGCGGCGGCGTAACCAAACTAGCTAGTGAGATCGGTCTATTGAATTCGACGAACACTTGAGACGCCTTCGGGCTGCGCTTCACTCCATCAAAACCGCGGAACTGACGCTCAAGTCATCAAAGTGTCGTTTCGTCTGTGGCGAACTCAAGTTCCTGAGTCACGTTGTGGGAATGAAGATATTCT